CAGAGGGGTTTTCCCTGTTATTCAGTTTTGCTGCCAACCTCACTGATGGTCCTCAGCTGAACACGCCCAGGGAGGATGCCAGGACTATAAAATTACAGCAGTGCAGCCACTGGGAGTAATCCACAAATCCAAATTAATGCATTTGATGACAAGGGAGGCTCAACCCGGATTTCTCCCTTTGAATTTCTCAAGAGGAAGAGAAGAACCAACAGGTTTGGTAACAAAACAACAAAAAACCGGGAGAGGAGGAAGCAATAACTTAAGCAGATCATGACACAAGTATCCAGTGTTCAGGAAGGTTGGGATGGATCTCAGGGAAAGGTTCTTCCCCCAGAGGGTGGTGGGCACTGCCCAGGCTCCCCAGGGCAGTGGGCACGGCCCCAAGGCTGCCAGAGCTCCAGGAGCGTTTGGACAACGCTCTGAGGGACAGGGGGGGATTGTTGGGGTGTGCTGGGCAGGGACAGGGGTTGGACTGGATGATCCCTGTGGGTCCTTCCCAGCTCAGGATATCCCACGATTCTGTGATTCCAATTAAAGCAAGGAAGTTTCATCTCTGAACCCCACTCTACCAGTTGACTCGTGCTATGGACTTGGACAAGTTCACCTTTCCCAGGAAGGCAACCCAAGAGGTTTTTGCAAACCCCAGCTCAAACCCATCCCTTTTCCCAACCTCAGCACAGCCCATTCCATGCACAGAACCTCAGATGCCTCCTCTCAGCCCTCTGGCATTAAGGCATCTGCCTGGACTGACCATAATCCCAACCAGCCCATGGAACACTCCCTGTGCTTTCCTGCTGGGGCACATTTTAGGTTGTGTCCTGCACATCCCAGTCAGGATCTGCCTGTCCCAGCCCAGAGGTAAATGCCACATGCCAAACATCGCTTTTAAGCTGCCTGTGGAACAGGAATCCCCCTGGAACTACAGGGATCTCAGAATCCCTCCCTGCCCAGGACACTGGGATGACACTTCAACCTTTATTTTAGCCCCGCCACACACAGAGCCCAGAGGAGGGAGGGGAAGGTGAAGCTGCCACAGCTCCCACTGACAGCCAGGCCATGTTCTGGGCAGGAACTGCGAGCTCTGGAGCAGGAACTGGGAGTTACTCCACCAGCAGATCTCTCAGTGCCATTCAGATTCCCACGCTGGCCGTGCTCCAGCGGCGCAGATACCGAGCATTGCTGGGGAGTGACTAATTCCAACCTACACCAATGTGGAGTTTCCAATTATGTCCTTCATCCAACAGGGCTCTGCCAATGTTGCTGTTACACATTTCCTACCAAAATAACTCCGCAGAGCCTGCAGCCAGTTTGAAAGGAAACTTCAGTGTCTAAGAATAACCAGTGACACCGGTTCACAACACATCCCTGCTGGCCCGGCCTCCCAAAACATCCCTCTCACCTTTTCGTGTCATAGTCAATTAAAACGTAGTTTTCCATGGCAAGCTTGAGATCTGGGATTTCTTCACAGACCCACCTGGAAGGAGAGAAGAAACAATTAATAGAAGCATTGCCAATCAAGGGTAATGATATTGTCTCAGGTCTAGGCTGGTGATGCTGTACATGGAATGAGGATCCTGCACAGCCCTGGAAGCTCAGAGTGCCCTCAGGAGTAAGGCAGACATCCCAAAATACTCATGGAAAGCTGCAACAGCTCGCATTTGTACTGAACAAACAGCAAGATGCCTGCAGACATTGGCAGCTCTTGAAACAGCTTCAAAATAAGGTAATAAAATGTGTTCAAGGTGCCTAAAAATAGTCCGAGCCGTGGCTGATGTCAACCCGACATCAAACTCGGTGCAGGAGGGCAGCACTTCCAAAGAATGCTGATCCTGTGTTTGACAGAGCTGCATGTGGAGAAGAGATTTCCCACAGCACCTCAAAACACTGTCACCAGCCCCTCCCTGCAGGGCTGTTCCCCCCTGGGCCGTGTCTGAGCTGCTCCCACACCTCACAGGGCCCAGTCCAAGCGGATTTTCCGAAGTTCCCTTGACAAAAGGCCCCTCTGACAGGCTGAGCTGACTGTTGTGGCCACCAAATATATCAAAATGGGGAAAGCACTGCCCTCATCACAACACCTCCATTCCCAGGATGGATTCCTACAGGAATGACAGTTCCTTTAAAATCATATTATTCCCTAGCAAAATCATTAAAAAAAAAAAACTACTCTGGGCTCTACCTCTGCAAAGTTTTTCTCTTAAATTACAGGAATTACAGGCAGCAGTTTGATCCTCGTGTGTCACTCCCAGCTCAGGATATCCCATGTTTCCAGGGTTCCACTGCCTCCAGCAGATAAAGGCTGCTTTGCACTGTCACCCCCCTCCTCCACAACCACCCTGTGGGTACTTTGCCCGAGGCAGCAGGAAAGTTTCTGACGCTTATCTTGCCCAAAACACAGTTGGGAAACATCACTTTGGCCCCAAAACCGCTTCCTGACACAGTTCTGGCCTTGCCCTCACCAACTGCAGCCACCACCTTCTGCACCACGTCCTTCTAAGGCCCTCAGAAGGGTCAGGTCAACAACCCCAAGACCCCAAGATTTTAACCCCCCTGGTCCTGAGGCACTTCTTGTGGCAGGCTCTGGATCAGAAAACTTCCCATCTCCAGCCCCATCCCACATCCTCTCTCCCCCAGAGCTTGGGAATGGCTCTGATTTCGTGGGTGTGATGTTATCCAGCACTTGGCTCTCCACCTTCTCCCAGCCCACAGGGCAGCAGATCCCAAGCTCAGGGGGTCTCTGCAGGTAAAACCCCTCAGACCTCACCTGTCCCTGCCCTACTAAAGGGTATCAAACCACCCCCTCCTGCTGCAGATCCAGCCCTGAGCCACAGGAAGGATCCAACACCCGCAACAGGAACAGCCTGACTGCGGACAACACCCCCCGTCCCTCAGGTGTTTTTTTGGGGTGTTTCTGTTCCCATTTCATAGAAGTTGTTCCATATCAAGTCCCCTTCTGATGCTGTACAAGAACAGCAGGTCAGGCTGTGACCATGGCCTGTGTTGGGAAATCCTCTGGATCCTGTTCCTCACACCTGTCTGTCACCTTTATCCTCCCATCTTCCCCCCTCCAGCAGCAGAATTCCAAGGAATGCTACAGGGAGATCACTGCCAAACAACCCAAAGCAACAGGGGGAAGGGAGAGGGTGGGGAGAGGCAGGACCAGGGCTCAGCACACCCAGTCAGGGCTGTTTTCTTAACCTTGTCCATCCACAGCTCAAACTGCTTTAATCAGCCTTCAAGCTGAACATCACCACTCACTCCTAACTCTGTTCTGAACAGAGTGGAATATGGGCAGGTGAAACAAAATCTGCTTGCCAGGGAGCAACAAATTCAGCCTAGAAAAGAACTTTGCAGGGTCAGTGCTGGCCTGCTCTGTTTCCTGGCCCCAGACAGCCCTTCTGAGGCTCAGGAAGGGGCCCAACACCCAACACTCACCGAATGGTCTCAATAATTTCATGAGCAGCATCGTGGTGTTTGTCCTGAAACAAAAGGAAAAAGAGCCATCAGGAGCTGTCTTGGCAGGGGTTTACAAGAATCACGATATTTTAAAGAACAATTATACACGGTATTTTAAAGAATAAATGACACACAATATTTTTAAGAACACCAAGCACACTGGGTAAGGAGCCCTTGGTTGCCACCCAGGCCATTAAAATGAGCCCTTTTAAGGAAAAAAAAATAATAATAAGCTTAAGGAAACGTATTTTTCACGTTTCTATGGAGCAGCAAAAGACTGACAGGAAGGAACTGTCACTCCACTTATTCCTCTGTCATTCCCTGCCATCAGGAGCTGTGGAGCTGCAGTCCTTGGGGGATTATTGGGATGCAGCAGGTACTGGAGTGCAAGCTGATTCCATCCAGCATCTGGCACAGGCTCCCAGCTCCAGATGGGCAGGCACAGTCCAGCCCAGGGAACGGCTCTCTAAAATCAGGCAGCAAATAAACAGTGGGAGAGGATTCAGTACAGGAGAAACACCCTCCCAGCACACACACACACACACAAAGAGAGGTGGATGTGGGGCCTTCTTCATCAGCTGAAAACCAAACCACACCAGATCTTGTGTGAGACACAGGAG